ACCAAGTCATATCAGATCTTAATCACGCTATAAGAATTTTCTGCTTAAACCTTACATCGCTAACGTACGATCAACAAAAATCGGACTCTGCTTAGCGCTGGATGTCTTAACTCGTTCTAATTCTCCGTTATGAGTAGTAAACAATGACGAAGACATCTTGTTCGTCCAGTAAATATTTCAAAATAAAAAACCTGTAATTTTAAAGTAAAAAATTTACGTAGCTATAATCTGCGTAATTAAAAAAGCTTGTTTTAAAATATTGTGGATCGAACCACACGATTGCAAACACTAATCGTAGCCAGTGCTACTTTTGTGCTTTGCCTCAACTGTGCATAGGCGTAGCCTTAATCGTCGCCTCAGTACCTATTTATCATCGAAGAACTAGACAATCGAATTTCCTGCACTCGTTTAACTGAAGATTATTTACTAACACCTTTACTGTCTAGATTTAGTGTAAATGTAACAACACCTATTGTAAAATTCTACTGACTTGTGATTGTTATGTTTAATTAAGAAATACAAGTATTTAAGACACTTTTCTAAAGGACGATAACTTTATGTTACCTGTAATAGCATATGCAAATCAGTGTAGGTTTTTCAAAAAAATTCTATACAACCGTAACTCGACCTCAGAATTCAGGAAATTCTCTAAATAGCATTGTCTGTGACCTGACTGATTGTTATTATTATAAGGGCATAAGCATAAATTTGCTTAAGTAGTTCTGATCTAATGTGGAAAGACCCACTCAATATTGCGAATGGTTTACCTTCAATGCACTTACTTAACTGATAAAATTAAATAAGTATACTTAGTCTCGGATAAGCCAAAATAACAAAAAACAAAGAAATAAATCTGTCTGTCAGTGGCAAATAATAGTTTATAGGATACTAAAATCAATTAATACAACCAATTGAAATATCAAGTTTTTGTGCGTTCATCTAGAACGAAATCTGAAGTGTTTTTCCCTGTGTTAAAAGTTAAAAATGATGTTTTATTGTCGTACGACTCGCACTTTTGAAATGGAATATTATTATGGGGCACACCTCCAGCAACAATAACAGTTTTAACGAAACATTTTCTTATTGTGATGATACAGATAATGACAAAATGTTCGTAACTCTAGTAGCTTTTTAATGCACCACAGTTGCGTTACTTACATCATCATTGTATCATAAATAATTTGATTTAATGATAATCAAATTTTTTTCTACTTTTCTTGAATAAATACTCTCATCAAATATCTGTTTTCTGACAATTAATGCTAGTCAATACTAGAGAGTGGATTTGCGAGCTTTAATTTTTTTGCGCTGGTTAGCTAGTCTACGCAGTAGTAATTATAACTTGCAAGATACGGTACTTTTTATGCCTTAGACGCATATAGCCCAGCCGCCTATATTTTGACCATAAACACCACCATCCCCGACCACCCCAATCACCTCTACATTATCTTTAACCACCTTTACCACTAAAAGCACGCTTACATACACTGAGGATTGCGTCTAAAAGTTCTTCTTTCAACTGCTATTTGATAGTACAGACCACAGAAAATGCATATCTCTGAATTTATTGAAAAGTAATCTCCTGCGTTAATTTGATTGTAATTGGACTTTTCTTTTCTTTTTGATTTTTAATTTCATTTTTAATACATACAGTTGAATTTATCATTTCTTTCATGTAATAATCATAGCGAGCGTGTCGTATGAATCAAATAGATACCATATGTTAAAAAAAATCCTCTAGTAAGCCGTGCAATTGATTAAAAATTAAAATAATGATGTCGATATCGCAGCTATTTGAGGCTTTAATTGGCAATTATTTGACTGTAACTATCAAACTGTACAAGGAACGCGTTGATGTTACCAACATCATTATTTTAAAAATAAATTGCACGACCTACTGGAGGAGTTTTTTTAAATATGTAGTATGTACTTTACCACAATATTTCGTCAGTAGGAGACGTGTCCGTGTTCATATTAATGTCAAGCTGTTGGTGTTAAGATTTAGGTTAGAATTCACGCACATGATCCCACTTGTCTTGCACAATTCCTGTCTATAGTGAAGAATAACTTTAATGGAAAATACGGGAGAATATTTAATAATAGGTTCTATATCAGTTCTACAAAGTTTGCACAGTGGCGTACTATACAAATTCTTCTCCTGTCGTACTTCGTAATATTGAAAGAAAACAAATTATTTTCTCTGTGCGGGTCCCAGACTAGACTGGGGGCGACATGCAAGTATTTCCCCGCTCTCATAACTGTCTGGTTTCCTCGTATATGGTAACGACCCTGAGCCTATCACCAGCCAAGTACCAATTGCGGCAGTACAAAGTGTCAAATTTTGCAGACCCTGGATTGGGGATTAAAGGCATGTTTTCGCATTATTTACTACACAGAGTCATGTACTGTATACTATGTCTCTAACGTCCCCCATACGGGGATAACGCTTACCAGTTTGAGTTACGCGATCCCAGCGTAATCCAATTAATTGCTGATGTTGACAAATGTCCTTTGTTGTATGGATCAAGTCTCGCACCAATGTTATTGTAATATCTCTTTTTGATTCAAAATATTGGACTGAAATAACAGATAAGCATACATTTTACTTGGCAGACATACGAATTTCCTTTTGCAAGTACTACAGTTTGCTCTGAACAAAGATAGAGATAGTGGATTTTATTGCAGCTAGCAAATAAAATAATCACGTGATGGAAAAGATAAAAAAATCAAACATTAAAACATAAAAAAGAATATTATCTTGAACGAACACGCCGGCTACCGAAGATATGCACGAAGACAAAAAGAAAATTTTTATCAAAAAATGTCTACGACTCATTATGAAAACACCAAACGAATCTAATAATAGGAGACTTCAATGCAAAATTAGTTAAAGAAAAGTGTCGCAAACCAACTATTAGTAACTTTAGTAAACATGAAGCTTCAAATAAAAATTACTTGAAGTTCATAGGTTTGTTAGCAGGTAGAGACTCTAGAATCGTGAGCACTGCGTTTCAACGAAGAAACTTTCATTTGAAAACATGGGTCTCCTCAGACGGCAAAACAGTAAATCAGACTGACTACATTAGTAGTGAATGAAAATTAGTGCAAGGCAATAAACAATGTTACGGCAGAATAGATCTGCAGAAATAGGTTCCACTGCACATATTAATTTTTCAGAATCCAAAAATTTTATTAAGGTATTATACGACATAATTGTTGTAACTGAATCTTGGTTAAATGACTCAATTACGGATGGCGAATTGTTTCCTTCTAATTATACTGTTCTTCGATGTGACAGAAATTTTAAATTAACTGGTAAATCTGATGGTGGAGGTGTTATTGTTGCTCTGTCTAAGAAAAATACATCTGAATACCTGCACATTGACAGTATAGAAAATTTAGTATCACAAATAGATTTTATAATTTGCAAATGTTATGTTAGTAAAACTTCATTCTTTCTGGTTGCTGCATATATCCCACCTGATACTTCTATTGACAACTATGTATGAAAATTTTCATGAAGCATTGGAAGCATATCTTTATGATAAACCATTTATTTTGATTGGGGACTTCAATGCCCCAGGTTTTAGTAATTTCCATAGTCCGGCGTACTCTAAAATTCAATTTCTCCAAAATTTTTCAAATTCACTGGAAGGAACACAGTTTAATAATATCTTAAATGCTTATGGACACATGCTTGATCTATTATTTTGTAATCTGAAACTGAACCTTGTTTTTAACCATGCTGAATATCCATTTGTCAAGGAAGATGCTTACCACCCTGCTCTATCAATCAATCTTGATTTAGAAACTTATGAAAAAATTAATCCTTTTCCAATCACATATAATAACCGTTTCAATTTTGGAAAGCTAACTTTAATATTCTTTATGGTGATGTTCTGTGTAAAGATTGGTCTTTTCTGCAACAACTTAATAACGTTGGTCATGCGTTGGAGATGTTTTATTTTCATCTTTATGAAATATTTAAAGCCTCAGTTCCGTATTACAAACAAGGTAATATTCGGTTTCCTCCGTGGTTTACACCCGACATTATTTACAAATATCTGGTTGACCGAGTTTCACTCGGCTCGTTTGGTAGTATTAGATCAGATTAGGACAGATAAATATGCGTATAGTATGCATTTTGAAGTACACGCGCTACTTAAAAATACACATTAAAAAAGAAATTCCATAAGCAGTCTTTGTTTTAAACACTGATAAGTGACATGTAGAGATTAAAGAACAGAAAACTGGAATTATTGTTTGACATCTCATTTGTTACCCAAGTTTTCTCTCTGTCGTTTTTTTTTTCCTAGTTCTCTCTCTCTCGACTCTAGAAAAAGGTCACAACCACATTCTTACTGCCAGAAGAGTTTCGCCTCTGGTGTGGTTAACATACTGAGTTACCGTGCTCTTTTGTGTTATTCCTAATTTCTCAATCTCAACCCTGCTCCCGAAAATGCCATTTACGAAAGTGTGCGAAACGTTGAGCCCAAAAACTCAAATAACACGGTCCCATCCCCGAAAACGATCACATGTTGACACTGACCGTGGAACCTCTGAAATGAATGCTTGACAAAATAATCTCAATTCAACACACTTTCGTGTGCCTTTTATCCGCTCACTGTTTAGTTTTTGGTAAATTTTCTCACCTCAGGAGGTGAATTTCAACGTCCTCTATACAGTGGAGTATGTTTCGGTACGTACAATTGAAGATAAAAAGGTACGTCAAACGTACTGTCAGACTGTCACCCAAACTTCTCATATAAAACAATCTCGTGTTCGTGTAGTGTCATCTGATGTTGCCTAGCAACAAATATAATTCACTGCCTGAAAATTGCTGAAAATGCCTGAAGCTGTAATTTTCAGAAGTTAAAACTATGATCAATCGATTTCTTGACCCAAAAAATCCCTAACCTGTAAATTTCATCGAAATCGTTAGAGCCGTTTTCGAGAAACCCATTACATATACAGGGTGCCGCATCCAAGTCTGGATATAGGGAATTAACATGCGAATTGGTTTTTATTTTATAATATCTCCCCAGATCACTTTAAAGCTATTATTGAGTGATGGCTTTGTGGAGGTCGAAGAGGGCTATCGGCCAGTATTTTTTTCAAATCGTTGCATCGCGCTCATTCACTGTAAAAAGGTTTTAAAAATCGTATTTTGAAATTCGCGCCCGATCCGAATTGTCGCGAAGTGTTCCGTCGTACTGTCGAAGTTCGGCGATCGCGTATTTTCATTACCCATGCAAAATTCAAATGTCAAAGTGAAATTAGAAATTATTCTCATCAGAAATCAACGAACAAGTCAAACTGAATTATTTTATCCAGTGTGATGATTATTGTAGGACAAATTAAACGGAATAAATGCACAAATTGATCCATTCATTCGTCATAGTGCGCGACCCCGTCAAACGAGCCATCTCGGACTACAATCAGACCGTATCCAAAAAGCCCAAGATGAAGACTTCAAGCCTTCGAGCAGCTGGTCTTCCTCAAAACCCCATCAAAGCCCATCGGCAGCATTGCGACATTTTCTGGGAGCCCTCAAGCTAGGAATGTACTCGGGCTGCCTCACTCAGTAATCACTGAACGACTCAAATTGAATTATTTTATCCAATATGACGATTATTGTAGGTCAATTTAAACGAAATAAATGCACAAACTGCACAAAATATTTTATTAGGTTATGTTGCTGGTGCTGATCGAGTCTTTATTACTAAAATCTCATTAAAATGCCATGTTCTACTGCGATTAGATGAAAAAGCGAGGGCCCGCTTTTCTTATTGTGTGATGATAAGATTTACCATCAAAATAGCTGGCGCTTTTGAAGAGGACCTTTTAATGAACCATTTAGATAACTACAAATAACAAAACTTAACAATTGTTGATGAATGAAGTAATGAAATATTGTACGAATCTGGAGAAGTATTGCACTATTTTCAAGAATTGCTCAAAAAGACTGCTCTCAGCAGCTGTACAGTAAGTAAGCCAATCTTCAAAACTCCTACGCGTATTGATCAGCATTTTAGTTGAAATCTGAAGACAATATTGCTGGATTGCTTGTTTCAGCGCTTCTCTGTTTGTATAGCTTGTCTGAATGCAGATGGTCGTGAAGAAATCTCCAAAGAAAAAATTCTCAGGGGTTTATATCCGGCGATTGCACAGGCCAATGGGGCGGTGCAAACTTTCCATTCCAACATTGCGGAAAAATACTGGTTCAAATAAACAACATTTATGCGAACTGTATGGCTGGAGATTTGGTCCTGGATGTAAAAGACCTGCTGCAGATGCCGCACCCTTCGAGTCCCAGGAAGTATTTGCTGAGCTAGCATATTATCCTACTTCTGAGCATTCAATCCGGATTCGATGAAAAAAGGTGCAATGACATGATGTCCTAGAAGCCCCAGTCATACACTGACAATTGCACGCCATTGATAACGAAGGTCATGGACCACGTGAGGGTTGTGTAATGCTCAAATTTGATCGTTCTGACGATTATAACTTCCCTTAAGACCAAATGAACGTCAGTAAAACAAATTTTCCTCAAAAACTCTCCATCAGCCTAGATTCTCTCAAGCGTTCCTTCGTAAAACTCTATATGTGAGAAGTAGTCCCCAGGCTTCAATTTTTTGTCATGATGCTTTTTGAAATTCTTCTATCTCATCTGTTTAAGACCCCTAGAAAACGTCGTGCCCACCTGATTTTATGTAATTTTTATCACCTTTGAAAATAAATGTAACTTTATTTTGCGAAATATTATTTTTATTTTTGTTGTTGTTAACACAATAAACAAATAAAACAGTAATACAAAAGTTTCTGAATCCCAAAACACATTCGTAATAGAGAAAAATACTTTAAAATGTTGATGAGTCAATGTTCTACATTTCTCTCTCAAAAATTTCCTGTAATGAAGATGCTTCCTGGAGGCAAAAAATCCATCCCTGCTTAACGAATGTAAAATCAATTGACTTCCAATCTTTAGTGATTCCAAAAAAAAGGGTGAAATTTATCCAAATTACCTACTAATTAAATTAACTGTTGAAGAACATGCAGGCCCCCGCTTTTTCATCTAATCGCAGTAGAACATAGCATAACCTAATAAAATATTTTGTGCAGTTTGTGCATTTATTCAGTTTAAATTGACCTACAATAATCGTCATATTGGATAAAATAATTCAATTTGAGTCGTTCAGTGATTACTAGCTTGAGGGCTCCCAGAAAATGTCGCAATGCTGCCGATGGGCTCTGATGGGGTTTTGAGGAAGACCAGCTGCTCGAAGTCTTCATCTTGGGCTTTTTGGATACGGTCTGATTGTAGTTCGAGATGGCTCGTTTGACGGGGTCGCGCACTATGACGAATGAATGGATCAATTTGTGCATTTATTCCGTTTAATTTGTCCTACAATAATCATCACACTGGATAAAATAATTCAGTTTTACTTGTTCGTTGATTTCTGATGAGAATAATTTCTAATTTCACTTTGACATTTGAATTTTCATGGATAATGAAAATACGCGATCGCCGAACTTCGACAGTACGACGGAACACTTCGCGACAATTCGGATCGGGCGCGAATTTCAAAATACGATTTTTAAAACCTTTTTACAGTGAATGAGCGCGATGCAACGATTTGAAAAAAATACTGGCCGATAGCCCTCTTCGACCTCCACAAAGCCATCACTCAATAATAGCTTTAAAGTGATCTGGGGAGATATTAAAAAATAAAAACCAATTCGCATGTTAATTCCCTATATCCAGACTTGGATGCGGCACCCTGTATATATACAAACTTTGCTCGTTTAATAGTATTAGATTTAAAACTTAAAAATAAATATAGAAGCAAATGGCTAGCAAATGGTAATGACTCAATGCGTAACGAATTTAGGCGATTGCGAAGGATGTGTAAATCTCAAATATCACTGGCATATAATTGCTACATGAAAAAGGTTGAAGAGTTCCTAATATTTAATACCACAGAAATATTCAATTATATGCATATGCAAAAAGGTACTACAAGGATACTTGGAAAGATGTTTGATGGTATTAAATCGTATGATTCTCCTCAAGATATTGTTAATGCTTTTGCTTCTATATTTTCTAACACTTATCTTCCTAAAATAGACATATGTTAGCGTACAAGATATTCCGTCAAATCGTCTTTGTGTTCAGCTACAGCCAGTTACGGAAGATGAATTGCTTAAATACATGGCCCGTTTTCTTGCTAAACACACTTCTGGAGATGATCAAATACCGAGCTTCATTGTTCTTCTTGTATATTATTAACTTAGCCATATCATCGTCCACATTTCCTAGTTTATGGAAGAGAACGCGAATAACTCCTGTTTATAAGAAAGATGATAATACGCAATTAAAAAACCATCGACCGATTGCCATTCTTTCAAACTTCGCAAAATTATTTGAACAGGTCATTTATACTTGCATTTTTAATGGCACTCATCGTTATATTTCAACTAACAACATGGCTTCTTACCGTGGAGATCCACTACAACTAATTTATTAAATGTTACACAATACATTGCTGAAGAAATTGACAAAAGAGGACAAACAGATGTTATTTATACTGATTTCAGCAGTGCCTTTGACACGGTGGACCACAATTTATTATTAAACAAACTTAGTGCTTTCGCTCTTGTTCCTTCTCTTGTGAGGCTTATGGAGTAATATCTTTCTAATAGGATTAACTATGTCTTTTACAATGGCTTTAAATCTAGTGAATACATGTCAACATCCGGGGTCCCACAAGGATCAAACCTGGACCCCCTGTTATTTGTGTTGTGTATTGATGATCTGGTTTCTTCTCTTACTTGCAATGTTCTTGGTTTTGCTGATGATCTGAAAATTGTTTCCACCATCAAGGATTTTGAAGATATCGTAAAATTGCAGCAAAACTTAAATAAGAGAACTATGTATTTTCACTCAATAGTTTAAAGATAAATTGGAATAAATGTTATTATGTTAGATTTACTCGTAAAATGAGGTATATTGCATCTGCTTGCACTGTAAAAGGTAATGCTTTGACACTTGTTGACAACATAAAAAATCTAGGTGTGATATTTGATGCAAATCTTACTTTTTCACAACATATTGATACTTTAACTTCAAACTTGTCTAAAATGTTAGGTTTTATTATGCGTGCTTCGCATAATACACATTTTAAAAATCCTCTTATTCTTATTAAAATCCTTGTAAGGTAACTGAACTCAATATGGCCCAGTACCCAATATGGCCTATTGGCTTTTTCTGATACGTTTCAAACAAAATGTGGTAGATCGCCACTGGGATACATTCTGGAACGCTTTTATACCATTTAGGAGCAATCAGTAAAGTAATACACCGTTTCGTTTACTTACAATGGAATTATTTGTGATGGTGATTTGACGAGTCAGTATGCGTTCTATTTTATGCCGCTAAGTTTCCTCTGGATAGTTTTAATCTCAAATACGTTAGCAATTTCATATGTTTTTAATTGTGTAGATCCTTTTCTTCGCTTTTAAATGATCTGCATTAGTTGTGCTTCTTAACAGCTTTTCAGTTGGGGTTACTGATAATATGTTCGCTTGTGATTGTGGCATCAATATGGCCTAGGCGCCCTGTTTAGTCTGTTGGGTACATACTGCAGTTCTCGTTTGATTTTTTTTGTGAATAAGCTGATTTAAATTACTACGAACAAAAAGCAAGTTCACAGAAGAAGCAAGAAAATTGTTTTTGATTTAACAAAAAAAAAACAAAAAAAAACGAAAACTAATTGGTATCTAAAAGAACCTTAAATTATACATATGAATTACCGTACAGTACGTACATTCATGCTACATAAGTCCTGTACAGATGACAATCCGAATTTGTATCCATGCTGTTGATTTTGTGTTGATTTTCACACAACGTAAACGTGAGATTGCACGGGATTTATCTATGTGAGCATGACTGTACGTTTCAAATACGGCTCTAGTCACAGATCGTGATTCAAGCACCGTGAAATATGAAACAATAAAAAATATTCACAATTATGCATATTGTTAAAGTTCATTTTTTAGGGGCTTGGACAAAGTTATGCAACATAAATACATAAAATAAAGGTGACGTTGATTATATTTTCAAATCGAATAAAATTCGTAATCCAAGATTAGGTACATAATACCTAACAATAATGTAACATTTTAAAAAACGACGTTTTGGGCAAAATTTCAGTGTTGACGTTTATTTTTTTGCAAAACATACATTGATTCATAATTATTATTTAACCCATCTGATAATTGTTAAGTTAACTGTGAAATGTGACATTTTGTGTTGAGTGAATATTTTTACGCCTTTAATAAATTAACTACCTATACACTACAAGTGCTGACATGAATTAAATGGACTGAATACTTTTAAAAGTTGGGCCACTTCATAGTGCAATTTTGAATTTTAAATTTCGATCATAAATGTCAAATATAGGTATATGGTCGCCACATTTAAAATGAGGGATTCCTTGAAAAATAACGTAAAGTAGAATTTAAATTGTTTTTCAAAATATCGTCAAAATTTACGTTAAAAAATAATATTTAGCACAGATAGTGTTACTAAACTTACAATTCAAATCAACAGGTAGCTTATATGTCGCGAAAAGCACATGCGATTTTGTGCAGTAGACTTTCTATTATTCAAAAGAAGCACACTATCTTTGATAATTTGTTATTCTGCCTAATTATTATTAAGAGGAACAAAATTTGCAAAATTTATATCTTTTTGAACATTATTTTGTCCTCAAATGTTGCCGACCAACGAACTCACTTTCAGTACTTACTTAAAATCTCGTACTTTATACTCATCTAAGTTCGGTTTTTCTAATTATATACATTTCATTTGGAGTGTAATAACACTGATAATTAATTACATAAGGAAAAAGTCGTAAAGGAGTTCATAAAAATTTGAGTTCTGCGATTTTTTGTTGTTCCTTCAGTTATAATATACTGGAAACTTCGTCAAAAAAAGCAAATAACTGTTTTTTGTGTTATTAGAAGTAACTTATTAGCCTTTACCGTTTAAAGCCCCCTGGGCTAGAACCGAACAGAAACTTTAAAAGTGAGTGGCTACTCTATATTTTATTCAATCGATGTGCGCTTCTAACTGCAAATTTTTTAGTCAGTAGTCACCAGTAGTCTTATGAAATACAAAGCAATAATTATAGGTACATACATAGAAAGTGGTTGATATTTATGACTACAGTTAATCCTATTTTGCGTACAACAATAGATATGTCTATTATGACAAATATCAACTGTTGAGGCTATCTACAGCTTTTATTAGTGGCTTTCGTAATGTTAATAAAATTCATCAGTATTCATATCCCGAGTGCATGTCAAACTACCGACAATTTTAATTTTCTCTAGTGCGCGAATGAACACAAAAGTGTGTATAAGATAACGAGAAGTCAAAAATTTTCTTAATTGTACATGTAATAATTATTGTACCTTTCAAAAATGAAACCTAGCTTTTGTAAACACAAATTTGAAATTAGTCTTATTATTTATCATTTTCAACTAAATGTTAGATCTGATAATTTTGTACTCTAGTGCAGAATTATTGCTGAACAGTTCTTTTTGGTCATCATGCAAAAATGTAATTAGCTGTCGTCATGCAGAAATATAAATGATTTGATTGGAGCATTTTTTTAAAGGAAATAGTCATTAATTAGAACATATATTTACTTTAGTGAATCTAGTGCGTCCAACAATGAATGTTCTACTGCAACT